ACAGTTTAGTATCATCGACATAGAACGACTTGCTGGACTTTATGTGAAGAACAAGATCACTTGCATAAACAACGAAGAGGAGCGGGCTAAGAACAGATCCCTGGGGAACTACACTTGTGACTTGTCTGTGCGAAGAAAGAGTGACCCACTTTGACCGAGAAAGTTCTATCTGTCATGTGATTTTCAATCCATTGGTGTCGTTTTTGACCAAAAAATTATGAACAAGCAATGACAAGTGAGCCGGTACATTATCGTGATGCAACAGCCATAAATTTTTTTTCCACAGTACCGGACGTTTCTTTCGTATTGCTTCTCGTAAGCGGCGCATAACTTCAAGATTATTGACCATTAGAGATTAGATTAGATTGTCGGGGAGCTTGCTCATGGCCGGTCACTGCGACCTTTTCATATCTATTGCGATGCTCCTTGGTTGTTAGAGCTCATGTCTAGCTTGATCTCTTTGATGAGACTCCATAGCCTTGACACTGACCCCTTCATATAGCAGGCAGCATCTGGTTTCTCTTCCCCGCATCTTGCGTGTCTCAGTCTTGCAATCGCTTCGCGTTCATAGAGCACATGCAGTGCGGTTTTTTCCTCTTCTTCACAGAACCTGCATTGGGGTTCTTCTGTCAGACCCATGTTGCTTATATGTTTCTTGAGTCGGTTATACCCTGTTAGACTCACCATTACCCTTACAATATTACGGTTGTGGTTTAGCTGGTCTTCCGTGAATTTGAGCGATGGTTTTTTATGATCTCTTTCGTCTGCCTCATTCCTGGGAGCTATTTAACCTTCCTTGGTATTTATGTGATTACCAAAAGGTAGTTCGGCTCAAGCTAGTCGATTATTGTCGGGGCTAGACGTGGGTAAGGAAAATATGCCAGGAAGGTGGATAGGAAATAATGGTTCTATTGAATGTCCACCACGTTCACCGGACCTGTCTCTTCTAGATTTTTCGTTATAGGGCTTCATGAAAGATCAAGTATTCAGAACAAATTTTGAAAATATTGAAGAATTGAAAGATTCAATAAGTAGTGCCTGCATCGCTATTACTCCACAGATTTTAGAGAACTGCCACAAGTACACTTTTTCTAAAGCAAGTATTTGTTTAAGAAATGATGGAAGACAATTTGAACATTTGATGCGATATCGCGTGAGACGGTAACTTAAAAAATGTAACGCGAGACATTCCGTTATTATTTCGTTACATTTTCTTCCGCAACTGTCTGTTTTTCAATGTGATGTATTAACGATACTGTTAACTCTGTGTTTCAACAATGGTTTGATATTTGATTTCTCATTGAATGAAAAAAGTTAAATGATAGAATATTGATGATGTGGTTTCGGGAAGAAACGTCGAGAAATACATATGTTGAGATATGTCAACGAATTTGTAATTATAATGACTGAAAATGTATAAAACAATATACAGGTCCGTATTTAAAAAACATATATTGATGATGGAATTCAATGAACGAAACGTTGCACATTGAAAAATGAGTTCACCCATATTATAAAGCACATGAAATAAAGCAAAAAGTTTCTGTCATTTTTTGATATTATTGAAAATGAAGGCGGTAGAGCAACAAAATAAAACCTGTCATTTCCAGTTTTTTTGCAAATATCTCAGATAATGCAACTAGTTTTCCTTTATTTTCAGTATTTAAATTAACATTTGTTCACAAAAAGGATACCATAAAAGGATCCACAGAAAGGATAATTTCTAATTATTATATGTGAACGTTTTCGATAGCAGGCTGTGCTATCATCTTCATGGCTTCACTCAAACTGAACGTTTTATCTTCTTGTTTGTTCTTTTATACGGTTAGAACGCCTTAGTGCAGGTATTTGTCATCTCCTTTCATCCGGAAGTCTCTTTAAATAAATTTGCCTGCACTTAAAAAGACATCTGGATGAAAGGAGAGGACAAATACCAGCACTAAGGCGCTCTAACCGTATGAAAGAACAAACAAGAAGATAAAACGTACAGTTTGAGTAGAGCCTTGAAGATGATAGCACAGCCTGCTATCGAAAGCACTCGCATATAATAATTAGAATTTATTAAAGCTTCAAATCCTTTTTGTGAACAAATGTTAATGTTTCTCAAAATCCAAAGAACGAATTCAACAATTATTCAAGTTCTGAATTTTCAAATACAGTAAATCGGTTTGTTTTTCCAGTTCCGCCAGGTCAGAGCGAAATCCGTTTTCCATTGATTTATTACTGCCAGCTGTTTGAAGGAAATTTTCCACCAGTTTAATTTCCTTGATGGCACATTCCTTGAACTTTTCCAAAATATCTTCTGAACTGATATTGGAGGCGCTAAAAATATGAGCGATGGCTCTTTGTATTGGGAATGACGTGTATAAAAGGTTTTTCAGCCAATTTACAGCGCATATAAAAATTGCGATTGTTATCAACAAACTAAGATGACAAACGAAGGTATTTGGTTTTTCGTTAATAAATCAACAACTATCAAAAATTAAAAAATTCAAATTTCATTCATAATTTCAATTTAACGACGGAAATAGAGCAATATGGACGTAACGCCGTTAAAAATACTACGACCACATGAAATATCAGTTTAATCAATATCAATGTTCAATTAAAACGAGGAGAAAAAAATTTCTCAATGGGGTTATGAAGGAGTCTAAAATAGAAATTTAAAGTTTCCAAAAAGGCAAAGTAATTTGGTTTGGTACCACCAGAGATTTTCCGATTTCGGAGAGGGAGCCTGAAAATCAGCTACCAAGCTCACGGTAGCAGGCGCGCAAAGAAGGGTTACAAATAAGGCAGCAGGTGCGCGTGTTGATAAAAAAAATACTTTTTTCGAATTAAGAAATGCATGTAAAGTGAGTTCGAAGTATTTCAAAAAGATTACGTACAGCGCCATCTGCCCGCGAATAGATCAAGTAATAATGTAGTTATATCCATGGGGTTACGTACAGCGCTATCTGTCCGAGAATAGATCAAGCAATAATGTCGTTATATCAAGGGGTTACGTACAGCGCCATCTGCCCGCGAATAGATCAAGCAATAATGTCGATAATTCTGTCAAATACAAACATACATACATACATACAGTTGAAGCTAATATAAAGCGTGTAAACACAGAATTACTAACCTGCTATACACAGTACAACGGTACACTGATGAACTTTCTTCTTGGGCTGCATGGACTTCAACTATTGAGTTGTTGAAAATTGGTGAAACTCTATTGGCCCAGAAATACTTTCTGCAACAAGCTGGAACTGTCACTGCTGTTAAGGCACAGTGGATTTCGAAGGCGCTGTCCAACTTGCTAGAAAAGTCTTGAGGTAGAACCATCACCAGGTCCGTTCTGGTACTACAAAAGACAGCTGACAGCAGGTTTTCTGTGCTACCTTCAGATAATGGCAAATCTGACTGAAAAATAAAGTGGCTAGTTAATTAACGCCGACATCAACTCTAAATGTGTCCTTATGTAGTAATCAGTAAACCCAATCACATTATTTTATTTTAACAAGCTATATAGTATGCTATTTGGTGTAGGTCCGTCATCGTTATTCATAATATTATTGTGTTTACTTATTTCTACACTCTCATAGGCATCTGGTTGCCTGTTGTTAACTTGTCTAACTAATCTTAATGAACTGAAGTCTATGCAATGGTTTTATTGCAAAATATGATGGGCGACTGTTGATTTTTCAGGTCTTCCATATTTCAAGTGTGCTATGTGTTCCTTATATCTTACTTCAATAGATCTTTTTGTCTGTCCATAATATTTTGCATCGCAGTCCTTACATTCAATTTCGTAAATTCCAGACTTTTCCGAATTCTCAACTTTGTCTTTTGGAGTTCCCAAAAGGCTCTGTAGTGTATGACTTGTTTTAAAAACCACCTTCATACCTAGTTCCTTGAAAATCTTTCCAAAGTTCCACGTATATTGGTGGTATGGAACTGAGATGTATTTATCTTGGTTTTTGTCCTTTCTGAAAGTCGAGATTTCGTTCATTCTTAACCTAAACTTCTTTTTTCTCATTATGTCATCTACAATACCCCTCGAGAAACCGTTAGTGGCTGCTATTTCCTGTATTGTACATATTTCTTTTGTGAACCTATCATGTGTTAGAGGGAAAGTCAAAAGACGATGCACTAAAAAATTCAACCCAGCACGTTTGTGCTGTCCACAGTGATGTGAACTGTAAGGAATATACATGTACGTGCTTGTTTCTTTTCTAAATATATCGTATTCTAACCCTCCATATTGGCTCCTCATTACCAAAACGTCAAGAACTGATAGTTGCCCCTTAATTTTTAACTTATACGTGAATTTTATTGATGGACATCTATTATTAAAAATGGAAAGAAAGTCGTCAATATTCGATTTTTTGGTATCGAATATCGCGAAAATATCATCCACATACCTAAGCCAAATCCTAGGAAAATACTTCGACTTTGGTTTCCATTTCGAATCTGCTCATGAACAGGTCTGCCAGGAAGGGGGACAAGGGGTTTGCCATGGCCGTTCCTTCCTGTTGTTCATAAAAGCAACCTTCTACCTGGAACCGATTTTGTTTCATACATAAATTAGTAAGAGAAACGAATTCATCGATTTCGTTATTATTGAAATTATTTTTCTCTAGTAATTCCCAGAGGTAATGCAAGGTCTGTGGAATTGTTACGCTAGGAAATAAGGAACTAACATCAAAAGAAACCAAAATCTCACCTTCTTGCAGAACCACGTTTTTTGTATGTTGTATGAACTCTAAAGAGTTTTTATACTAAAACTTGGTTCCGCAATAGACAAGGTTTCAAATTCCTTGGTGAGCCACTTTGCTATTTGGTAGGTAGGAGCTCCAATAGCTAACACGATGAGGCGCATTGATTTTCCCGGTTTGTGGATTTTTGGGAGGCAATATAGTTTCGACACCGTTGGGTTGGAAACTTGTAACTTCCGTTTCAGTTGAGGGGTAA